ATATATACATACATATATATATACATACATATATATATACATACATATATATATATATATATACATATGTATATATATACATATAAATATATATATATACATATACATATATATATATGTATATATGTATATATATATAAATATATATATGTATACATATATATTTATACATATATATACATATATATATATATATGTATATATATATATGTATACATATACATATATATATGTATATATGGATACATACATATATACATATATATATATTTATTTATTTATATAGGTATATATGTATACATATATATACATATACATATATATATATGTATATGTATATGTATATATATGTATACATATATATTTATACATATATATATATATGTATATATATATATATATTTATTTATATATATATGTATATATATATATATATATATATATATACATATATATATATATATACATATATATATATATATATATATACATATATATATATATATATGTAATAAACAATATAAAGTGAGAAAATATCATAATAATAATAATAAGTAAAAAGAGTGCGTGTCATTTCATATGTATCATCACTCATATGATTGGCTTGTATGACACCTCTGACTAGCAACATAACCAATAATATCATAACCGATTAAAAGAGAATAAAATTTACTATACCAAGAAGTATAGTTTATAAATATAATTTTGAGAGGAGCTTGGACTACAACATTATTGGAGACAAGAGTATTTTTAAGAATAAATGAATTGAGGATAATATGAGATGAGTGCTAATTGAAGAGGCATTACCGACTACGTCGAAAAGTGGAGAAGAAAAATATCTAAAGTAGCTTACAAGAAAGAAATACTCATTAGAGTATAAAGCTAGGAGGTATAAAGCTACAATAGAAAAGAGAGGATAAAAAAAAAAACCTCATTGAAGCAACTATGGTTTTGATAACATGAGTAGAAATGATTAGTTGAATTTTTATAGATAATGAGTATGAATTTATATGTACAAAGAGATATTACAAAATATGATAATTATATATTTTTTAATCAATAATAATATAAAATACTCACTAGATCATTTTATAGTATAGGAGATCATGTTGAGATCATGATGTTTATCATTGATAGAATCACGATAATATATTATCATAATTTTTATTATTTAGAATCATAATAACATATTATCAAGATATTGAGAGGATCATAATGTTCATATTATGATTTAATTTTCTCAATAATATCTTTCCTAATATGAATCTCATATTCGACCACTTAAATCGAGTTAGACCAATTGAAACATTATCAAAAATCATACTATCCACACTATCACTTTATAAATAAATAATAAAATTAATTATTAAAAATATTTTATATTAGAATTAAGTGAAAAAAGAGTGTTTGAGATTTTCCTTTCTCAAATTGCAACATGTTCCTGATGCCCTTTTCCTAGCTTAGACTTACTACTCTCTTTAACTTAGCACATCATAATTATTTGAAACATGATCGATGGATAACTGGAACACCTCTCGTCCTTGTGACCAAGACTAGTGCTCTGTCGCTGTCGGTGACATCCACTGAACAAAATGCGTTCAGTAACGAACAAAAGCGATCAAATAGGCAGATGAGCAATACTGTGCTCAAGATATCCTTACTCGTCATTTCAATAGGATTATGCGCTTTAATTGGGTATTGGATACTGGACTTATGAACTCCTCCATTGTTTCTGGTTATGCTTGAAAATAAAATTAAAGATGATTCTTGTTATTGTTTCTAAGTTACGGTGGATATCGTAGATCAACTAAAGATAATATGCAAACATGGATGTAATGTATATGTCTTTCTTTGCTGCTTTTGATATTATGGGGAAGGTCAATATAGGTAATCTATTCTTTACATTTACATTTAGAGAGATGATATGAGTATTAATTTCTCATGTCAAAAAGGAGTAATCTTATTGTTGTGCTAAGAAGGCACGTCCTCTATATGGGAAATAGAGATAATTTTAATAAAAAATAAATCTTTATTTTATGATATTTTTTTATATAAAAACAACTATAGAAGAATTATATGTGGTCTCCAAGAAAATTCTAATCGTATGTATGTATATCGAAAAGAATAGATATCTTACAAACATCTTGAGCATTATGTTGGTTCTAAAAAGATCAATCTATTCGAAAGTAAGATGATTAAAGCCCTTGCATTCAAGTATTGCACATATCTCCTCGGGAATAAATTTTTCACGTCTTCACTATGTAATGTAACGAAGAACGATGACTTCAAATACATCGAAACCGTAGTTCAACTCACCGAGACCTCAAACATATTATTATTATCTAATATACTAATCTTAGTCTTAACCTGATAAAATCTGACATGCATCTGATAACGTATTCACTTGCAATCTAAAATGTTCAAACCAAAAACTAATTTCTGGTTACAGTCCGCTCTGTCGGTTTGCCAGCGCATTAAAGAATCATGCAACCCACACCGATCAAATAAACGCTTAGTAGGTGACCACAATGGTTGGGCTTCGCATTCCGCCCCACTAAGCAATCCCATCATATCGCGATATAATATGCACAAATCACTTCATTTGGGGCGGCAATTCCGCCGCACAATTGGCCGCCCCGGTCATTCTTCCCGTCACATGGGCGCTCGTGCCTCGGCCGGTCGCCGCCATGCGCCACCTAACCCTACCGCACACACCGCAGTGGCTCTCGTCGTCCCGGCTTGAGTCACGACTTGTGGTACGGTGCGTGCGAAATGATATCCTGTCTCTTTCGGGCCCGCTCATCGTACAAAGGAAGGATGACTTCATCGGCCGCACGCGAATCCTAAAAGCGAGTAAAGGCGACGCGTTTCTTTTGGCTTCGGCGGAGTGCTCTTGGTCCGCTGTCCCTGCAGCACACGTTTGAGAGCGGCACCCTCGGGTTCTTCCCTCTTCCTCATTGATGTTTTGATATAACGCCGTCGAGGAGCGGGCAGCGATAAGGGTAAAACGCATGCGGCGGCGCGATGACGGCGTCAAGAAGAAGGTTGCCTACCAGTTGTTTGGCGGTAATATAGAGTGACGTCAGTGGCAAAGAACTTGGCAGTTTTCGCTTTGACGGGTACGTTCCTCTCAGCCGTCCGATCGATGAGGCGGTGCAGGTCCCTGGTCGTCCAGATCGTGATCGGACGGCGAGTGGACTGCTTGGGTCGACACGTTTTAGTAATTTGAATTGTTTGAGAGGGTCAAAACGGTATTTGTGCGTGTATCTTATCTTCGTCCGAGGCTCCCGCGGCATACTTTAAGGAAGCATCGGCGTCCACGTGAGACCTTGTCACTGGCGGAGTTAGAGCACAGGACGATCTGGAAACGCGCACGGAATAGGGAAACGTATCGCCGTGCGACATATCGACGCCGCCGCCGCGGAGCAGTAGAACCGCGGGCCCCACGGGAGTCCAGCCTGTTCTCGAGTGGCTCTCCACTACTACTGCCCTGGCTCACCTCTCTCTCCGCGGTGCGCACACCGCCCTCGCGCTCTTACCGCGCTGCTCCGCCGGGAAGAAAAAAGTCGATCCTGACTTGGGACGCTACTTAACGTACGACAGAGGGTGTTAGCGCACATCAAGATCGCACTCCTATCACCCTGGACACGAGTCGTGTCTGCAGTCGGGTGTCAAGCAGCGGTAAACTTTTTAAAGCCCAAACCCCCCTCTTCCGCTTGCAAAGGCAACGCCTTTATATATTCTATGGAAAGATTTCCTTTTTCTCGCGGCCTACAGGACGCACTTTACATTATCGCATTTCCCTTCTGCCCGGTGGTGTTCGATTCCTGTCCTCCCTGTTCCTGTTTCCTCCTCCAGCACGCTTTCTTCTCCCTCCAAAGCCCCTGCTTTCCCCCACTTTTCATGACCTGTTGGTAGGTTTCTGGAGGTTTTATGGCGACTCTAGAGGATCTGGGCGTCTCGGCCTTCATCAACATCGTTGGCGCCTTCGCCTTCCTCATCCTGTTTGCCGTCCTGCGGATTCAGCCCATCAATGACCGTGTCTATTTCCCCAAATGGTACATCACCGGCGGCCGCAACAGCCCCCGGGTGCGCGGCCGTGGGGTCGGCAAGTTCGTCAATCTCAACCTGCGCACTTACTTCACGTTCCTCAACTGGATGCCCGGGGCGCTCAGGATGAGCGAGTCGGAGATTATCCAGCACGCCGGCCTGGATTCCGCCGTCTATCTTCGGATCTACATTCTCGGGTGAGCTTATCTACAGAGCTTTGCTTCCTTTGTGTTCTCATGAACCTCTCCTTTTCGGAATTCAGTTTGACTTGCGTGGTTGGACGAAATTTTCGATGGATCGTAGAAGAAAATTTATGTGACTTTGTAATTTTCTTACATTTCTCTTAAGCGCTCAAGAATTTTGCTACATTTCTTGTACCGTTTTATCTTTCTGTTGATAATTCTCCGGGATTTTACTCTCTCGGAGCTTTACTGCTGTGGGTATTATGATTATTTAGTGTCATGAACTTTTCCGTTCCCTATATTTTCATTGGTTTGACAAAAGTTTCATTGGGTCACTGCAGAACAATTATTATCTCTTTGTATATGCAATATCTTTCGAGGAAATGTTTTCTGCACTGATGGACGTCGTCTTTTCTTGGTTCATGTAATTGTTGAAAATTTTCCTTATCAACATTCGGTGTCTTCCACACCTTCATTCGTTTTCAATGAAATGCCAATTCGCGTTGTTTTTTGTTGGTCAAACAGCAACCCCTCTTTATTTATTAAGTCTTGTGCCTACGTTCCTAAGCTGCGCAGAAACGATGTAGCTTTTAGGTAAATTTGAATACTTAATTTTCATGCAGTACATGTGTTGTTTCTTCACGAGGGTTCCATTAGAGCCTTTTTTTTCCCTCTTTTGCAATTAGCACCAAAAAATAAGTATTCAGTATACTACAAATTTCTTGTTCAGTCAATGAGCAAATGGGCCTCTGTGGTCTTTCTACATCATGTATACTACAAGTGACCGATTAACTCAATATTAGTGGTGGTATGTTGATATTTTTTTACTTCCACTTTTGCTTGGCTTCTTCAAGGATTACCACGATAGAGAGAACCTGACTACCAAAAGGAATTGTGTTGGCCAATTGGTTGAAGTATAGAGTTCAGGTTTTGTTATGTCAGCCAATTGACGTTCGTGGTTCATTGGTCATGAAGATGATTATAGGTATATTCTTTATCCACTCATCGACTTTTCAGGATGTCATATTACAAAGCTTTGTAAAATTAGTGTATGCCCAAGTACAAGGGTGTGATTAAACATAGACGTCTCACTACTGTGTGACGAATAATATTACTATAAACATTATGAAAAATTCTGTCGGATGAGATGCTAGAAACTTCTACTAATGATACTTGTTGGAACACCATGAAGGAAATTAAACTTTCTGGTAAATTTAGATATAATAGCCATAGAAGTTCTAGATTTCATCTTGCTTTTTTTCTCATTAGTTCATTCTTCGATTTATTGCTTTATAGTTTATATTGCCCATATAAGATATATTTTCTGCTGTATGCTTGTTTGGAGTGCTGGATTTTAATGAAAATTGTACTCCCTCTTTTTTCACAGGTTAAAGATTTTTGTGCCGATAACACTGCTCGCCCTGTTGATTCTCATTCCAGTTAATGTATCTGGTGGGACATTATTAAATCTCAACAAAAAGATTATGTACAGTGACATTGATAAACTTTCAATTTCAAATGTTAATGCCGGATCTCAAAGGTAAATTAATTTATCTTTGATGAACAATGTACCCATCGAGACAAATTTCTAGAATGTGCTAGAGTTTCGATGGTTGTGTACATTTATTTATTTGTTATTTAATTGTTAGAAAAAAAATTCATGATAATTATAGTGAACCAATCTGAGAAGATTGGTTTTCATGTCTTCAGTATTGTGCTTGAATATGCCATCTCTCTATGCTTGTGTCTCTGTTTTTGGAGGTATAGATGTAATATACATGAGCAAAATATTTTCTCAAAATATTCTTTCTTATATGAATTAGTGCAAATTCAAGTGTTGTATTGAGATGTTTTTATTTGAATTCTTTTAGTTGCTGCATTGTGGTGGGATTAAAGTGAAGCTAACAGTTTACTCCTGAATTATTTCAGCTTGCATGTTTAGTGCTGAAGATAGCCTATGTTCACAAATCCTAACACTATGCTGGTGATGATTTTGGTAAAATAAGTTGGAATATGTAGAAATGAGCCCAGGTGAAGCTTATAATTGCAATGTACAGAGTAGATGAACATGATGTTGTTTGAGATAGTTAGAAAATAAATGCTGTATGCTGAAAATAAGGAAATAATCTCAAGTATTTAAATGTTTACGAAGAGAAGATGTTTTACACAATATGAAATCCAGGATGGATATATGGAAGAGTAATATGACTTAAGCCTGGAGCAAAAACAATGATACAGTATGTTTCCAATTACCTGGTCCTGGCCCTAGAATGTTGTTTCGCCCGGACCTGTACAAAATGGGTAGTATGTAACGGTTTGTGTGAACCGGTATGCTGATCACCCTTGTTTTGGGCAGTTCGATCTGATTTATTAAAAAACTATTTAACACTGATTTAGGGCTCACATTCACTAGCCCTCTTCGCTTGGAGTGGCCCACCGCCTTGTCACAGACAAACTTCGAAACAGGATGTTTGATGTAATGCTTATATATGTCCGTGTCTTTTGGCATGTTCATGCCTTGTACAGCATGTAGAGGAGCGGTCGAAGGCTTAATAGTCCCATTTTAGTTGGGTTAGTGGCCTCTTTAGGCTTGTAAATAAAGGTTGTGTCATGTGGACACGTGCGAGAGATTTTCGGTCTGTAATGGACCATTTTACCCTTTGTTGTGCAATTGTTCAGAGCTTGTAAAGTCTGTTTGTAATTTGCATTGTCTATGAAGTGTTTTTCGGAGATGTTTGCTTGAGGATCCCGATTGAGGCGTTCTCTCTAACCCGTTCTCTCTTTTGTTGGTCGTAAGGGACAATGGGATGCTTCGGGGAGGCTGACCTTTGCGGACGGACACGCAAGGGTGCCGCACGACTTAGGCAAAACCAGCTAAGTCCGTGACAGCCCGCTATGCATTGTTGATTCTGTATACGTTTACTCCTCTACCTCCATGGCTTGCTCTTGCTCCTTCCTCTTCCTCCTCTGCTCCACCAAACCCTCTTCTTCCTTTCTCTTCCTCTATTGTTTCTTCTTCTTCCTTCATCTTCGTCTTCTTCCTCTGGTGCCTTCTCTTCTTCCTTCCTCCTCCTCATCCTTCCTCCAACATCATCTGTTCCTTCCTCTTCTCCTTCTTCTTCCTCTTCAAATCTCTAGTACATACTAGTATACCAACACCCTATACGTATCAATTAGGTCAGCGGTCAACATGGGTGGTTAGTACAAGATGAAAGTCCTTGATCCTAACTGTTAAAGGCAAGCATGTAAGGCTGTTTGGTTATGTCAGAAAATTTTAGTTGTATTTTCAGTTTTTTAACTTATTCCATTTATTTATATATTGTGGTTGTCATTTTAGAGGTTCTTAGTTGTCTTGACTCTTGAGTTAGATTTTCTAGTAGATTTTGTGTGTGTGTGTGTGTGTGAGTAGCGAAGGCGGTATTCAGACCCAAAACCTTGTGATAATCCATCAAAGTCTTTACTAGCGAAGGCGGTATATATGCGATAATAGATTTTGTAAATAGTTTTTTACTCTTTTGCCTTTTCTAGTAGATTTTGTGTGTGTGTGTGTGTGTGTGTGTGTGTGTGTGTGAGTAGCGAAGGCGGTATTCAGACCCAAAACCTTGTGATAATCCATCAAAGTCTTTACTAGCGAAGGCGGTATATATGCGATAATAGATTTTGTAAATAGTTTTTTACTCTTTTGCCTTTTGTTCAGAAGCTATTCAGATGCAATTTCTGTGAAGAAAATAATGCCCATGATATTGATGTTAGAAGCTTAAATAAGACCCTTTATGTGTTGCCTCTTCTTGTGGTCTGCTGGTACTTACTGGGGCAATGTGTGCTAGTTGCTGGCCAAGATTATCATGTTTTTAAAAGTCAAAAAAATTGTTTGGTTTAATTTTCAGATATTGTAGAAAGCTTTTCTTGTCCAAGCACTTATTATATAATGTTAATATTTTTACTTTGCTCTGAAATTTGATAGATGTTTTAGAAAGTTTGGATGATTGAGAAAATCGATTGTGAACAATTAAGGTTTCTAGATTAGTAGCATTCATTCCACCGGAAATAAAATCCATACTGAGTCATTCTAAATAAAATACTAGTCTTGTTCTTTTCTTGCCTGATTTATGCTTTATTCATTGTATCATTTTATTTCATATTTATATGATTATTTATCTCTAATTTAGGTTCTTTATTCACCTGTTGATGGCGTATTTGTTCACACTATGGACGTGTTACATTCTCTACAAGGAATATGACAATGTGGCATTTATGAGATTACATTTTCTGGCATCACAAAATCGTCGTGTTGATCAGTTCACCGTAAGTGCCAGCTGCAAATATTGATGCTTTTGTAATTATGAAGTTCTCTACCTGCTTTGTTTTCCTCTTTAAAGATATATCACTGTGGACAAATAACAGAATTTAGTGCCACTGATATTTAAGAAGCCCTGTAGTAGACAATGGAACAAGGATTGAATCATCTAACTCTTGCAGAAAGTTCTCACTGTATTGCTGAGAACAAGAGTTATCGCAGGCGCAGCCTTCCTAACCTGTCTCCAGATCCCATATGACTATTGCATGGTCAACAACAAGACATGGGACAACAAGACACAGGGACACATACATACTGGTACATGCAGAAAAATAAATAATCTGACAATCTCAATAGGATGAGAATCAGAAAAAAAATATTCACCAAGTTCTTTTATTGTTTATATCAAGGATTGAAATATCGTAGCGTACCGGAGTTCGACCTTCTCTTGGTACGGTACGGTACTGTATACCGAGCGGTATACCGTTAGGTATATGTATATGTATATAATTTTTCAATAAAAAAATACCGCCCAGTAGCGATTGGTCCGCATATCGATTTCCTGTCGGATCGGTACATACCGCTCGTACCGGGTGTTATCACTCGAAACTGTATACCTTGGTCTATATACTCTATAGGATTAGCAATTTGGTTCTATTGCTAATTTAATACTAATTTATTGACTGATGAAACTTGATGATTTTAATCCTGACTAGAGTGTTTAATAGTTCACATGCAATGGATGTGGAGAAATGTAAAATGTAGTGAAGGGCTAAGATTTTTTAACTAGGAAATAGTTTTAGTTATAATCATGAAATTAACTCCTTATTCATGATAGCTGGGTTTTAAATAACAATGAGCAAACAAACAAGAGTTCTAATTGGAACCAAGTCAGGTCACCTGACACCTCATCCAGTGCCTATAACAACTTTGATTGGGGTCTTGGTTTTTGAGCCAAGGTTTGAGTAAAACAGTCCTGGTGTTTTCAGTCTAGTCAGGCATAGATTGAACTTGGGTTGGTCCACCCAAGTTGCAACCTGACCATGATCAGATTATATCAAGCAAGATTGTCTTGGCACAGGTACAATTTTAGATTCTTGTAATATTTGCCAGTTGTATCATTATATGATGATGAACTTATAGGACTCAACTGAACAGAGGCCTGAGTCAATCAAGCCAAGATCCATTCAGCTTCATTAGCTGGGATCCAGGAAGGATTACTAAAACCTTGGGATGTGTGTTTGGAATCCTTTCTGATATAGCTGCCTTTCACTTTAGAAGGCTTTGGAGATGGGTTTTGGCTTCGAGGAGTCTAAATAAGAAAGGAATAGAATTAGGACTCAGCCTTTTCATCTCAATTTTTTGGATTAATTTCTGATTTATACTGGATCAGAAAGAACTATAATTAGGAATGATGCTGAGATAGTACTGAGTTTTCAGACATCAAAGAAGTCTAGCATACTAATGTTAACTTTCATTTGAAATCAAAAGGTACATGCTCCCTTTTCATTGAGTTTATTTATAATTCATGCAGACAGATAGGTTATTACAAGTGTCAGCATCGTCTATTGTGATCTGCCGACTGATATATGACAAGATGGTAATAGAGCACCATAAATGTAGCATACGATGTTATGTTACTTCATGTTTTTAGTTGACTATAGTTGTGATCTTTATTGGAGCATAGTTTTTTTTTCTTTTTTTGCCTCTAATTTGATGTTTGCAATTTGCTTTCAAAACCTTGATTCTTATTTCAGTCCAAACTTTTTCTTCCAGGTAGTAGTCAGAAATGTGCCACATGTTTCCGGACATTCCATATCAGAAAGTGTTGAACAGTTCTTTCATAGGAACCACCCCGACCACTATCTAGGCCACCAGGTAGTATTTTGTAATTAGTTGCATGGCAATGTTTTCTCATTAAAATATTTAATTTGCTTTAATTTGATTACTCAATTAATCTACTCAGTACTCATCCTCCATTTGTTTGCTCATTTTCCTTAAAAAATATTGGTTCTAGTAAATATTCAGTTTATTGAATTAAAATTTATTAATCTTTTATTTTTCAGGCTGTCTACAATGCAAATAAATTTGCTAAGCTTGTCAGACAGAAGGAGAGACTCCAAAATTGGTTAGACTATAACCAGCTGAAATTTGAAAGACAACCTGAGAAAAGGCCAACTACTAAGGTCAGTTCAATTGACTAGGTATTCAGTGATAACAAACACAAATAGATAATCTATGTGCCACCAGCAACCAGGCATGGATCATGCTGATACAGTCACATATCATGCCAAGTAATAATTAGATTTTATTAATTTTTCCATTTTACCTATATACATAACACTTCCATTTTATCTAGTACTCCAGAGAGGATTTCTTGGCCTTTGTGGTGAAAGAGTGGATGCAATCAACTATTATAGAGAAAGGATCAGCGAACTTGATGAAAAGGTAGTCCTTTCTTTGGACTTCTTGCTAATTTTGCTGCATTATTATTTTCCATCTGGAGTTTGGTTACATCTTGTTATTCTGTATGGAAAACAATTGATAATTGTTATTCTTTTACTGTCCCTTTGTCTCTAGTTTAAGATATATAATAGAACTTTACACATTATGTTTGCTTAGTTTCTTCTAAGATGAAAATGCATAATCTGTTATGTTCTTCAGATAGCATATGAACGCCAACGAATTCTTAAAGACCCGAAGGCTGTCATGCAAGTAGCATTTGTTACGTTTGATTCAAGATGGGGGGCTGCAGTATGTGCACAAACACAACAAAGTAAGAACCCAACTAAATGGTTAACAGAATGGGCACCTGAACCACGTGATGTATACTGGGAAAATCTGCCTATACCATTTGTTTCTCTCAGCATTCGGAGGCTCATAATATCAATAGCAGTTTTTGCACTGGTTTTCTTTTATATGATACCCATTGCTTTTGTGCAATCACTTGCAAATCTGGAGGGTCTTGAAAAAGTTGCTCCTTTTCTCAGGCCAGTTATTGAAATGTAAGTATCTTGACAACTTGTAAGGATACAAAGTTTCTTTTTAAATTACAATGGATAAGAAGTATAAGTTGTTAGATCTGTGATGCTTTTTGTTTTGTTGCTTGTTACTATCTTGTGATGCTAAATGGACCAATTCGATAGGAAGAGTTCAAATTTGTGCCTTTCATGAATTATTCAAGCCCATGGTTAAAACTGCAGTATTTGGATTATTCATTCAAGCCCATGTCAATTAACATTCTTAAAAGTTATTTGCAATCTTGATTTGTATGCTTCAGATGATCAATGTGCTAAGCTTGCTTTTTTATAATTGTTCTGACTTAACATCTTCATTTATTAGTTTATGCTATCATCATTACATTTAATGCAACTAAGTTTTCTTATTATGCATCCATATAAGCTTTCTCTCCGTAGCTTCTAATGTATGCCTAATAGTGTGTTCATGGCTTATGCAAGTAGAAAAGCAATTGAATTCGGTCAAATGGAAACTTTTTTATTCTTATTTACTCCTTTGTCTCCTGCTTACATCTCACACTAATTAGTTGACTGTATTGGCATATTAGTGATTGCTCTTGTTCTCAATTTTACTCATATCATGTCCCAGGTATCCAGCATATGCTTTTTCCAACTAAATAACCATTGTAGGTGTGGCCCTTTTCTGAATGCTTTTGCATTTTGTACAGTAAATATTGGATGTTTCTTACCCTGGATTGCCACTAGTGGTCATGCCAGTGAAGAATCATTTTTCATTTTATGACCTCCCATGCCTAGGTATTACAGCCCTTACCACATACCAGTGTAGGTGATTTGGTTGAAATTATTGGCCTACCATAGGCTGCTATGTGGCCCCAATCCTTTCAGATTACATGTTAACATTCTCGCCATGGAGAATGTTTTTGTTGGATGCAGATAAGCTCAGACTGACCTCTAGATGGTTTGGCTTATCCATATTTCTAACTGGTAGGGCTTGAGTTCCCTAATAAGCACAAGCTAAGTTTCAAAGATCTTGGATACTTCAAACTGGATTTTTCTCTTGGTGAAGTCTAATCACATCTTGTCATATGTTATCCCATGTCCAATAGGAAGGTTCAACCACACTAAGACTTGCACTCTGAGACTCTTTTCCTTTCACAGCCAGGTCTCTGACGCTTATATAAATTAGCCAGCCATCTTCATGTAAGGTGCATTAACTTTGTTCCAACCCATGTTTTGATATGTTAACTAAGTGAATATTCATTGTATTTCATGGAAGTATTGCTTGGTAGATACTTCTGCATTGTTCTTAGTTCTTACTCAACTTGCTTTATTCTATACGTATGTACATCAATTTGTGTAGATGCATCTATTTTACTCAAGATCTATAAAGTAGGGCTTTCAAAGATTTTGAATAAGGTTTACAAGACTGGTTGGACTGGTCCACACCACTGGTATTTATCATTCTGTTTGTGAACTGGTGCTCAGGAAAAAAGTGTACTATAAAGTCTAGTAGCTTCCTTTTGAATAAAAAAAGCATATTGCAAGAGTTTTCTATATCTTACAACATTATGCATATATGCAATTTGAATAGCCATTCTCTATGGGTCATTGTTTGATTGAAGCCCATGAAACCTGCTTACTAAATTGATCAGCCATAGCATTGCTGACTTGCACTTAGACTGCTCTGAATCCTTCGGCATTGTTTGACCTCCATGGCATCACATAAAACTTCAACAATAACAACAACAACAACAATAAAACCGTAAGTCCCAACTATTTGGGGTTGGCTGTATGGATCTTTTGCTGTTGTTACATAAAACTCCACATATTTCAAAACACAGATGTTCTCCGCATGTTCATTACTCTAATATTGGTTAAAATTTAACACATTTATTCTTACATGAGTTCAATGAGTTGAAAGGCAGTAATCTCTTTTTTCGTGTTGTTGGTTGCTTTTGTTTTCATTGTCAGTATCTCAACAAATTTAAAGTGTTGAAATATCGCAGATCTCCAGATGCAGAAGTTCTCCATGTACTTGTTACCTTAATATTGCTTTCAGATCCACTATGAGCTTGCAAATACATGCTATCTTATATAGAATTTAAAATGTTGAAATTTAGTCATATCTTTCTATTGACATTACTGGTTGCTTTTGTTTTATTGTATCGGCATCTCTTATTTATTTGAGGAATGACTATAATACACCTATTTACAGCAAGCAGACTGGTCCTTTTTTATTTTTCTCTCTGTCAAGAGCATAAATTTCCCTAACATGCACTTCTTTTGTGTCTTAAATATATAAATTCAACATTCTTACATGAAATTATCTGAACTGTTAAAATTAATGCTGTGCTTAGAAGCATTTGTGTTCTAATTTTGTTCAAAGTTAAATTCTTATAAAAACAATCTTCTTGTTAATAATGTTCACTTGTTGAATGCATATCCTGATTCTTGTATCATTAGCTTAAAATATGGTACATAATGCATTCCTTCCCAGACTGCAAGGGACTTGTGCTTCACCTCCCTTTTTTATGCATTAACTAATTATCAGATTGTAACATCTGCAGAAAGGTGATCAAGTCCTTCTTGCAAGGTTTTCTTCCTGGTCTGGCTTTAAAAGTTTTTCTATACATTCTTCCAACAGTTCTGATGATTATGTCAAAAGTGGAAGGCTACTTGTCATTGTCATCACTTGAAAGGAAGGCAGCAGCTAAATATTATTATTTTATGTTGGTGAATGTTTTTTTGGGAAGCATCATAACCGGAACAGCCTTTGAGCAACTTTATTCATTCATTCATCAGCCCCCTACCCAGTAATTCTCTTTAGTACCTCAATACATTTTGTTATACTTATGCTGTTATCTCTATGTTTATTTAAAATTATCACGTTTAAATCTAGAAAAGATGTTAATCATCATGTCATACTATCAATAAATGATATATGGCGAAGTAGTGATACTCCAAACCACTGGCATGTAGATATTTTTTGGTTTTGTTATCTCTCATCAGCGACCTATATTAAGTAGCTCCTATTGTTTTTTAACTAGACTTTCACTTTCATTTAGCTAAATTTGTGTAAGGGCAACTAACACCAAGATTTTTCTCATATGAAAATTAGTTCATGCTTTGAACAATGCAATATATATGTTGAGTATAAGCCACCAAAGTACTCTTTAGACATGCCGATAATGTCATGCATAACAAAACTGACACGCTATATATTGATAATTGCCTAATTTAATAAATAAAATAAGTTCTCAATTACAATGCAACTTTGATATGGTAGTACATTTGCACATTTCCTTTCATAGATGTTAAGGTTACTAAACAAGGCATTTTAATGGTTGGAGTTTCATGTTCCGAATGAATTTGTTCACACAGACTGTTCACACAGCATTATAATAGTCTTGACAGCCATTGCATCATTCTTGAATTGATACAAATGGATCTCTATGTAAAAAATCTCTAATGGTTATTGGTATATCTAGTATCTACAACCTCAATCTTAAGAATTATTTAGCAAATTTTGAGGTAGCTCAGTTGTATGCCAAAGTCCAATATTTGAAAACCTAAAATCATGACTTAACTCGAAAGTCATCTGGATTGAGTCGATTCAAAAGTCGACCAAGTTCAAGACAATAATAAGATAAGTAATATAGCATTACATGCATCCACAATAGCATTACATACATTGACCTACTGAACCTAACTTTTACTTCTACATATCCTTTTTATCATTTTACAACTACTTATGCTTGTGTGCTTAAATTTGAGTGAAATATGTAATAAAAATTTCATAGTCTAGAATATACATCGTATCAAAATTTGATGATTCCATGAACTGTGGTTCAACCAATGGTCCTGAACTCATCGTGGCAGACTAAAAAAGAGGAGAAGAAGCAAAGGATTGGGATGAGGAGAAAGTCTTTTGGCCCTTCTTCCTAACATTCACAACTAACAAAATCAATGCATCCTTCTTTTCCTATACTTTTTTTTTTTTTATATGTCTTCTGTGGTATAGATCAATGTTTGATGTACCGCTCAAAATGATACAAAACAGGTGGTATGTATTGGTTGTCCAGTAGATTGTTGCATGGAGCAGCCCAAAACATAAGCAGAAAAAGGGTCAGGTATCAACTGGTATGGATGATCTATTGGCCGATACAGTCCAAACTCATGCAATATTGATCAATATGGGTCGGTACCAATCGATACAGACCCAAGTCAGGTCAAGTTTGACCCCAACAGTCAAATTGACCAACCTCTTTTGGGTTTTAAATTCCCTCCTTTCCCCTTCTTTCACTCACTCATTCTCACTCTTTCTCACACTCTCACTTAATTGAAGTTCCTAATCAGCAATTAGTGGTAATCAAGTTATTGATTTGGATAAAAGATGGATTGGTACTCGGGATCTAGTGAAATTTCTCTCCAATTTGAAGGCACCTAGCTTCATTCTATGTTTTATTTATCATTTTATATAATTAGAGGCATATTAATGCATATTCTACATAGATTAAGGTCATTCTCTTGTGTTAGTTCTAATTAGGTATAGTGTCTTACATTTAGGTTTAGATCGAGGTACGTAGGGTTAATCATAGTCTTATGCATTATTTATGTCTCATAGACACTCTATTATTAACTAAATACAATAAAAAACTTAAAAAATATTTCTTGTGAATTTTTGGTCATTTTTTAGCATTTTTATGAAAAATGATACATATTTATATACTAGTACCGACCGGTATGTACCAGTCCGCCCATGGACCAATACCACTGGTCAGCATGGTACATCAATCCTTGGTATAGATGAAATAAATACGAAGTTTTCAAAAGGAGGGAAAAAGAGAAAAAAAAACTGGGTTCTTTAAGTATCATACTTTTTGTATATTGAAATTGAAGAAGATGACAGTTGGCCAACTTGATTTCTTTATGAAACTAAAAGGTGAGAATGTTACCTAAAATCTTTTCTCGTCTCCAGCTCATAAAATCTTGTGCACTTACCTTTCTATTTAAGCCATTCATAAAAATCGTTTATGTCAACAAACTTACATTTTTTATGCCTATAGGATTCCAATAACCATTGGAGTATCAATACCAATGAAAGCTACATTCTTTATGACCTACATAATGGTTGATGGTTGGGCTGGCATTGCAAGTGAGATTCTTCGACTTAAGCCACTTGTTATTTATCATCTTAAAAACATGTTTATAGTGAAAACTGAGAGGGATCGAGAAAAGGCTATGGACCCTGGGAGTATTGATCTTCCGGAGAACCTCCCATCATTGCAATTATATTTCCTTCTTGGGCTTGTTTATGCTGTTGTGACACCGGTTCTTCTTCCCTTTATACTAGTATTCTTTGCCTTTGCTTTCCTTGTGTATCGCCACCAGGTTAGTATACTTTCTTTGCTCTGGTATGGTGCTATTTTTTATGCTTACAAATAATAAATTCTTTTTTTTATTGCTACTTTCAGATTATTAATGTTTATAATCAAGAGTACGAAAGTGCTGGTGCCTTTTGGCCACATGTTCATGGACGTATAATCGCAAGCTTGTTGATTGCTCAACTACTTCTGCTTGGTTTGCTTAGCACAAAGAAAGCAGCTAATTCAACTCCTTTGCTTATTATTTTACCTATACTTACAATATGGTTCCATAAGTACTGCAAGAGTCGATTTGAACCTGCTTTTAGAAAATATCCTTTAGAGGTAAGTTAAATATCTAATTGTGCCTTTGTTTTACTTGCTTGTGCTTTACAATGACCAACATAACATACACCATAGCTATTTGATTTCTTTCTTTTATATTTTTGGAGAGAAGAATTTATTATCGATCTGCTTTCTCAGATGATTTTTCATGATATATTATAGATTTGCTTTCTTCAGATGATGTCTTATGATATATCAAACAAAATCTGATACTTTTGAACTCTATTTAGTTGACTGTGGTATTCTCCTGCCCAAATTACTCTTTAGTTCAAACCATCTGTGTCTGTTTGAACAAGATATCTACACTACAATTTTGAGGAGAGAAAATTTTCTTCACCTCTTTGGCCCTATCTTGTATATTATTTATCTGCTTTTTCTTTCTTCTTTCTCTACATTTTATTCCTCTTTTGTTCTAACCACATTTGCTGCACACTAGCTTTGAGATATTCAACAAAAAGTATGATATAAAAGCAATATATGATAGATCACTAACCAGTGAATGTATCTATACTAAAACATTATCTATATCTGATTAAAAGCCCACCGTGCTTAAATAAGTGATTGATTATTTTCTTGTCAAATTTCTAATGTAGGCATCCAGGGTTCAATGGACAACTGATTCTGACACATATATGATGCAACAGTCAACAGAGGTTCCAAAGATTCTATACCTAAGGACAATTACTGAACTTTATCATCTCTGTTAGTAGTCAAACTGTTTTATCATATTGGATTAGGGACCAATTTGAGGAACATAGGGACACAATCACTATGTTGCAGAAGCTGTTGATATGGTCCAGATATTAGTTTCAGATATTTCAGCACTAGAGCTGAGTGAGAGTTAGGATCTAGATTTTTTTCTATTCTTATAACAATCTTAATTTAACTTAGATCACTATTTTCAGTAATCTGGCTGCAGTTGTGAACAGTTAAAATTTTAGTTTGAGTCCTCAGCACTCTGCTGCATAAGCAATCAAACAAAAATAAGAGGGTTAAAATTGTCAAGGTTAGGATAATTTAACCTGATTAGTTGTCCTGAACGAGATGCAGCCTAGGTGGTTTTCTAGTTACTTCCTGCTTGTTTTGTATGTCATAATTCAGATAAACTATGGACCTTGCCTAAACTTCAGTTTGACTTGTATATTTTTACACCTACTTCAATAAAATCAAATATTTCTCACCTTTCTAGCCCAAGATGTTCATGGACTACTTAAGTATGATGCCATTCGTTACCATTTTTGTCATAGAAGCTTGTGCTCAAGATGGAGCATGTCAATCATGTATCTGCAAGAATCCCATACAAGTTTCATAGGAAGTCTTTTAATCTGTGCCACCTCCCACAAGCAAAGAAATGAAACAAGATCGTTTACATCATCTTATTTATTTCTTTATTTTGTCATGATTTTAGATAATGGTTTTTCTTGGGATATTATGATGTGTTGTTTTCACGAAGTCTCAGAGAGCCTTTACATGCATGTGTGATGTTGTCTTTGTTTTTTGTTATGCATATTTTAGAAAATGGTTTCAAACCTCTTATCCTGTTTTTGACTGTAGGAAGCGATGGAAAAGGACATACTGGAAAAGGCTTCTGAACCTAACTTGAACCTGAAAGCTTACTTAGCTGATGCATACTTGCACCCGATCTTTCATTCATTCGTTGATGATGATGATGAGGAGGAGAAGATAGAAGTCCGAGTAGACAAAGGCCGGTCTCATATTCCCTCGCCTACGCGGAGCGAGATCAGTTCCGAGTCTCCACCTCGTTATGTATACCACTATGAATTTGAACCATAACAAGCAGGTGTGCCTGCACTCTGTAATCAGCTTCTTGTAGGGATCATCAAGTTTGAGTTTGTCCACCATCATAGATGTTTTAGCTTCGATCTTTTTAGCCCACTGGTCCTTGATGCAAATGTAAGCGTCCTATGGTTCTTTTTTATGTTCCAATGTGCAACATATCTTTTCTTGTAATCTCAAAATAGCTTTTGGATTTTAATTATGTTTCATTTCCGGGTGGAGTCGCCTTGTTTCATATTTTCACATATTCTGTTGAAATTACCTAAATCGTAAGTGCCTAAGTCCTAACCTTTTGAGCAAAATGTAGCACTTAAGTAATTCAACAAACATAAAAGGACTTTGAACACTTGGATAACTACAAGTCTAGCAACATTGCTCATTCGAGTGTTGGGTTGTCTGGGTCATTTGCTAAGCGTACACCATTTCATCCAAATTGATCTCCAACCCTCCTCGTAGCCCCCTATCTAGTCTTGTGTTGAAACACACGAACAAGATGATTTGTTTTTTTACTAATTTTGACTCCATTGTGTTGAAACGCAAGTCTTTTCCCTATAGTTTTAGCAAAATCCAAGATTGCTTGCAAATAATCTTGGATTGCTAAAACTAGGGAAAAAATTGTCTATATAATTTAAATTCAGTTATCCATACTCTAGTTTTGTCTCTGTCATGCAAACCCTTCTTTTATCCATCCATAAAGAGTTAGTGAAAGCCAACGTGTAAGGGACATAAATAAAAATATTTTATTGGTAATACAATACAGAGATATACCTCATAACAAAGATTCCAAAGGAATCCATCACTCATGAAATCATTATACACAACTATCTATGCAGCACCAACTACTAAGCACAACAATAATTGATCCTTTAGACACACAACCAAGATCTCATCTGACCAGGTTCCATCCAAGGGATATCATTTACTTGCACCAATTTTCTAGAAGGGGCAGATAAGTCACTTGCACGTGAACATGGAACCAAATCTCCAAATATGAAAGGAAGCATTATTGTACTAAACCGATTGGGTTGCAAGATCTTACTTTTGCGTTTTCCTTCATATCGTCTCTCTCTTTTGTGTAACTCTGCACGTACGTACGTACGTACGGTATTGTTCTATGGCAAGGACATTCTCACAAGGAACATATTTTTTATGATTTGATGACCCCAAAGTTTGTAAACAAAACCAACATATAATCAAAATAACAGCATGTTTGGTAATATTAACCAACCAACTTCAATGCTTAAAACCCAAATTGGCTATCAATATGGTATTGGACAAGAGTTACTTGGGATATCAGACATAAGATCATTTAACAGATCAACTGAAGGAATCATCAGGTACAACCAACCAATCTTAAAGCATCACATTATTCCACCAATGACTCTTGAAAGCATTTGAGGGATGATTCATTCCTAAAATCCCAACAATAGGCCAAAGTTGTTGATTCCTCCAACAGAATGGTAATCTGATCTTCAAGCTAATAACCCCATTCAACAAGCAATGAAAGAACTTAGATGATATGACAATGTAACAGATGAAAAAAGGAATGTGATCATTCAAACTCACCCAACAGACGGTCACATCATAGTGAAACAAACGAAGCTAAAAGAAATAAATTTAAAAGAAGAGCAGCTTAAGCAGGACGCTAGATCAAAACATTTTGGGCTTCACTGCATGCAATTTCTTCATTTATGACCTCTAAAGTACATGTAAATTTTCTGCAAACGAAAATCAAAATTACAGTGAGAAAAACAAATCATTAGAAACGAATGGAAAAACAGTGATCCAATTATGTAGTTATGTAGAGAACTGCTTGTGACCATTATTCCTTAACAATAAAGCTAAAGGTTCAAATCTTAGCACAAAAGTGCATAAACAAGTGCTTTGTGCTTATGTATATTGATTTTCATACTAAATTTTACTCTCAAACAGTTTATTACTAACAAAGTTTGCATAATATATTATATAGAACATCTGTAATTACCAAAACAAAGGTTTCCAAACAAAGTTTGCAAGTAATCCTAAAGAAGTTTTGGCACTAACCTGAAGCACCCAGAGGCTTAAAAGTGTTTCCAAACAAAATAAGCCAAAACCAATCAAGTAAAAGATCTGTAATTATCAAAACAAAGGTTAACATTATTTCAACATAAATTACAAATTACCTAGAGAATATATAGATTAACTAAAAATTGATCCACAATTGACTGAGAATTTTCCTGTTTCAAATAACAAGGTTCTTTGCCATTAAAAGAAAATACTTGTAAACCCAAAAAATCATGGAAGAGGAACTAAGTTTTGAGAAGGTGAACTTACCCCAACAACCATGTGATCCGAAAAAGTGTCAATTGCAGCCAGTATACCCCTGATAGCAGAAAGCAAACTTGAATATTATGGAGTGACTTATCTCTAAAAAAAGTAAAGCACAATAACATGAAGAAAAATGTGACATTGCAAGGATTAATTTCCAAAATCCATCCCACTCCTGAGGCAAACTATACTTTCTTGTCCTTTTACTTTGAAATGGAAGATGACTTCTGCATGAGGGAGATTTCAGAAGTAGTTCTGAACAAGAACCTTATCTACACTTTAGTACTGTATTCAGGCAGAAGCATGCTGAACAGAATGTCAACATTTCAAGTTTCAACAAGCCATTTAGCTAGGAACTAACTTCTCCATGTTACATACATGATCGTACATAAAAGTCATGCAAACAGTAGCAGTAAGCCCAAATCATGGGCAGGATTTTACATGAAAGAGATATAATCATTATCATACTTTATATTCATCAAACTAGGATGGTAGCCCCTCATAAAAGCCTAGAAACTCAGTGCAGGCCACAAAGATAAACGTCATCAAACATTGACTGTCTCAGTTAGCCACCACATGAACATTCAAGAAATAAATGAAAGATGTATGATACTAGATTTGAAGTTAATAGAAGAATGATATAATCATCATTATGCAAGCTAAGAAATAAATTTCAACTGCAGGAAGTCAGATAATCAGTAATCTGTTGATCCCACAAACCTGGTTTGATTTGCTCCCAGCGTTTAGTTCACCACCCTGTGATTCAGTGCTTAACACCCAATTGCAAGAGGCCAATGCATTCATCAGATTGATAAATGTAGTTCTTCCAACTAAATTAAACCAAGACATAAGGTTCTCTACCTAACTTTAACCAAGACAAGTCGACAAAGCTCAGAATCACTGGGCCATGACTCCGGCTCCAGGTCAAGCTATTTGTTGCTAAGAAGTTTTCAAAGTGTTTACCACATTTGACAAAGACACAGTAACCAAGCTACTCAGGTTCTCTCTAGTTCTTCATGGAATATGCTCCATTCATTTAAGAATCTAATCTATCATGAGAAGAGAAGAATTTAACAAAGACATGGTTCCAAGATTGTTTATTTACTATGGTCAGAATAATTCATGAACCACAATTTGTTGAGATTACCTTAATAATGGTTGGTCCAAACCTTCATCTTCTATTGAAATTCGTGATATGATATGATCTGATATGTATATATGTATGTGTGTGTATACATATGTATATGCATATGCATATGTATGTATATATAGGTATATGTATATATATACATATATGTATACATATATATATACATATATTTATATACATATATATATATATATATATGTATACATATATATATATAATAGCAATAAAATTACAATATAATGATAACAACGAAAACAAAGCCCACCGATCTAAAACATATGCGGTATGAGGATTACAAGCCCAAAAAATCACTTACGTCAATGACTTCCCATCAAAAACAATTGGAGGAGCAATAGCAGCAATGATGCAAAAGCCAATATGGATCTGTACATAATAAGAATGAAATACTCATCAATGGCCAATTATGATCAGTTCTCACAAAGTGATCATCAAGAGAATCACCAGGTACAAGAGGAAGAACCAACCAAATCTCACTGCACTCTCAGTCCTGTTCAGCAATCAAAATGTTAAAGCAAAAATTAGTAGAATAATTTCATGAAACTCCACTTGCAAGAAAAAAAGCAGCGAGCATTTGATCAATGTTTTCATTAACTTTCATTTTAATAGTCATCAGCAATGATTAAACTTGTTTGTATTTGATTTGAGTTTAACAATTTTAACTTTGAATTTGCAAAAATACAAGATTCCTGCTATACTAATTGTCACTTTCTGATTACCTACCTCATTGCACGATATAGAGGCCTGTACCACAATAGATATGAAAGAGGACATCCAAGAAAAGCATAGATTATTGCAAGGAAAAAGACTTTAACCCCTGTCAAGAAAGAAATGTATGGCATACTACAATGATTAATAAATAAATAAGGACCCCAAGCCAAACAATAACAGATAGGTCAAGGCTACTAGAGTGCCTTACCACAGCCTTTAATCCAACATACAGTCACAGCAAGGATATTCCAAGAAAGACACAGAACAATTCCTGAAAAGAACTACAAAGAAGTAAACTATTTGCACCATATGGACAATTGAACCTAGGCAAATATTACTGCTGTGCTAAACGCTAACTAAATAGAGAAAGTACAAACTACTGCCAAGTTTTTCATGCCTGAAGTAATTAACATATGAAAATATGAAGCACAACAGCATCAGGTGTTGTATACAAGTTGGTAAACATTCCTCAAGCACTAACTCAAATTTCAAATAAATAACATACACCAAAAAGTAGATATCTATGATAATCAGTAGAGATGAGAGTTTTGATGGGTAGTATAATGCAGGGTTATAAGAGATTCTAAAGCCAACATTCCATGTTTCCATGGCCTCCTGGTTCAGTGCAAAATTTGATGACTAAAGTTTCCTAATAAGGATACCAAGTTGCTAATACAAAATAACAGAATAACATAGAGACCAGATAAACTATAGGCACAGCAAACAAGCCCCTGGAAAAAGGGGGAGAAAAGTTAATTGCAATGGGAACTAGGAATCAGAAGCAAAACCCATTAAGGACTTGCAACTACCATCTGGTAGTTACAGTTACAAATATTATAGAACTTGGTCACAAAACTTCTTGCATTGACTTGAAAATGGATATCTTGTGCAGGTAAAAAAACCCTAGTTTTGGCACACTCTCCAAATGTCTAAAAAATAACATAAATCTAAAAGTTTTTATTTCTATGGACATAATTGCAAACAGGATAAGATACTAATGCCACATACTTGGTGGAAGAATTCATAACTAAGACTGCTATGAAAAAAACAGAATCAAGTCTGATACCTAGCCAGCTTGCAAATGCTAAATACTGCAACCTCTGAGCATGAATTGGTATCTCCTTAGCAATATCATGGTGAATGATTGGGAACACTGGTGGCCAATTCTTATCTTCTGTAGTAACACCAGCTGCAGAAAAGGTATATGGACACAATAGTTTCAGACAATACAGAGTATATTTGCAAAAGAACTTTCGTACCTACCATTCGACAAAGCATCTTCCCTTCGTTTAATTTCCTGCAAGAAGCAAAAAAGCAAATTAAAGTATTTAGTCTATGATCTAGCTTGAGAGATAGCAGCTAGGATGCAAAATATATTAGCTTGTTCATATGTGGCAATACAAATTACAACTGCAAACCGCACTAGAGACACAACCATGTGATAGCATTTGATAAAGCCAAAGGAAAATGCCACAATGATAAAAAAAATCTAATGTCCAGAGATTCATTCATGTAGGCCAACCCAAGTTTAAGACATTAAAGCTTCGTCTGTGGGAACCTTATCCACTTGAGACAGCCAATGCAGCAAGTCGAAATTCAACTAGAAACAGATTATACTCCACATACACCCCCTAATGCTGATCAGTATAACTTATCTAAATCCACAACCATTACAAGGCATCTTATCTTGTTGGTGTTTTAAAATTATTGTTCTGACTTGTACCCAACTTTAACCTTGCCAACTAAACTTTAGAACCTCCGAGGTCACACTTGTACAAGATAACTATGTTAGAGAGCTATAACAGGAGAAATAGTGGTAACAGACGAGCTAACCGTCTCTCTCCTTTTCAGTTCTGCTTCCCATGCTGCAAGTTCTTGTGCCTTCTTTCTGGAATCCTGTTAACATTGCCCAAACAAAAACTGCATTGGATCATCAAAGGGCAGAGCAAAATTACAAAAAAAAAAACTGTTAAATCGCAGTACACACGTTTGTCGTCTCCAGTGGAACATCAACAACCGCATCATGCTTATTTCCGAAACCCAGAGTAACAGATGACAGCGAAGGGAACTTCGACTTTTTGTCAGATCCTGCTCCATTCTGTAACGGAAAACCATTACAATAAAAAAAACGAACAACACTACCGCAACAATGTACATCATCACAATAGAAAACAAATCTTTAGCATAAATTGAAGAAGCCGATGAATTCTGTTGGCGATCAAGAAAGATCGTAGCAGCTAGCCCGATCGACCATCCGATCAATGAAAACCAAATCAGAACCGACGGATTCCCAAGACCCATAGGACAAGCATTCAACAACAAGAGCTAGGGCTCCGATGTCCAGATCCATAAGAACCCTATGTCTCTACTCGACAAGGGTATCTTTGATGGATCAGGAAGAAGTGCATTTAGTTCGAGCCGTATCAGATCAAGCGAGTGGACTGAAACCAAGAAAAGCAAGTAAATGCAGCGGAAAAAGTAGAAGCGCAAAGAACCAGGCAACGGCGACATATTCGAAAGATGAAGACGAGGGAGGAGGAGGTGAGACTACCGAGAAGGGACTGACTGCGTCTTCGTCGAAGGGGTTGGGATCACCGTGGCGCTGCATTCTCTCTTTTCTTCTAAGAGATAGAAGCGAAGGAAAGGGAGAAGAGCCGAAGGAGCGCAGTGAGGTGAGAAATGGAGTTGAAACGACGCGATAAGGAAACACGAGATCCGCGGAGCGTTTGAAAGTGGTCGCTTGCTTCGTCGGCGACCGAAAGAGAAACAATAAATAAAATATTCTCTAATAATTATATTATATTATATTTATGTCTATTATAATAAATGTGTATTATATTTATTGTATGAGAAAATTCATCTCCCGTTTGAATCTGACCACGTTTTCGGTTTCGTCCTGATTTGAGAAAATTTGAAATCAAAATCGAACTACTAATTTTGAAACCATCGATTTTGGTTTGAATCGATAATTTTTAAATATTTTTTTTAAAGATAATTTATAATATAAAAAAATATAATTTTTATCTTTAATTTTTAAAAAATAATTAATGTACATTCAGAATGACTTAATGAGTGTAAATATATAATGACATAACTAAAATATTTGATATAAAATTAAATAAAATTATAAATATCTAATCGATGTTAGATGTTTCATTAATCTATATTGAAAAGGAGGTTATTGTTTTTCACAAATGATATTTTAGTTTTGTTTCGTCACCTTTGTCTGATCTTCGATACATTACATATTTGAGCGATTTAGAAGTTACGCGTGATTTGATTTCATTTAGGTACCATCTTCGCGCACTAAAAACTTGCTCAATAGCTACTGTCGACACTGGAATCATTATTATTTGCCTCGCAACTTTCGTTAAGATTGAAAAATATTCTTGTGTATCGTGTTTACCATTCTAGAATCGAAAACTCTGTACTTATAATATTCTCACTAAACTCAAGAGAAGTTGATAGATATACATCAAGCTCTCATGATCCTCTTAGCTTTTTTTTAATCTTTAACTAATAGTTTTTTTTCTCTTAAAGATTTTACTTCCTCCGCTAACTTGAACAATATATTAAAAGTTTTGGAAGTATCATGTTCTCTACTATAGTATAGTTAGCACTATAATGATTGTATAAGTTATTGATCAATTTTTTAATATTTCTAATTTTATCACCAATATCAATATTTACTCCTAAAGTTTCATAATAAATAGATAAATAATCACCTAAGTTAGCTAATCTAATAAGAGGATCAAAAACACGTACAACTAAATAAATCGATAATTTTTTTAAAAAATAAAATTTCTAATTTAATTTCATAGCCATTATTGTCATATTTAAATCATTATTCATTTTTATATTCTTCTAATGCACTAATAATTGTATACAGTAGGATAATAAATATCATATAAAGTATCTGTTATATTATTAAAAAATTTCAAAATTTCAAAATTCTTTCACACACATTGTAGTGCTATAAACAAATTTGCATAACATTATTTACAATAAAAATGTATAATAATTTTTATATCTAAAATATTCTTTAAACAATTCATATATAGAATTTCATTTGGTAGGAACATCCTAGGAAATCTTTTGAGCCTTTTGTCATTTAACTTGCAAACTTTAGTCCTATGGATAACCCCATATGAATGAAATAGCTTGCTTAATAAGAGAAAGAAAAGTTTTAAGAGATTTAAGTATATCTTGTACATATATCACCAAAAAAGATTGACAAACTGCTTGCAATTTTAGAATACAAGCAGTATTTGTTGATGTATTATCAAAACCAATAGAAAAATTTTAAAAATCAAATAATAAACTTCTAAATTTTTTTTATCATTCTATAAATATTACTACCGTATGCCATTCATTGAAAACTCTAAAAGCAATAATATGTTTTTGCATGATCCAATTACTTTCTATCCAATAATAAGTGACTCTCTTCGTGGATTTACTCAAATATCAACATAAATAGAAACACCAGCTCAAAATTTTTTTAAATATTTTTTTTTATAAAGATTATACAAGACATGAGTAAGAGTGGTATGAGGAATTTATTATGTAGCGAGATTTAAAGCCTCTTCATAATAATCAATAAATTTAACCCTTTTTTTTATTTCCGAAACTAGAAGATAAATGTTGGATGACAATTAGTTAGCTAATGCTTTATAATTTTTTTCAATAGAAAAATAAAAAAATGAGAGAAGTAGGGTACTTGACAATTGGTGATTTAACGAACTTTTTATCTATACCAGCTTGTGTGAGGTATATTTGTTTGGAATGTTTGGTATCCATCCTCCTTTTTATTTTTAAAATATTGGCCATACATAGTAATTGGATATGATATAGAAAGAGCCATGCACGTTATAAACCTTTTCGAAGTGCAGCTTAAAAATACTTGACTTCAATTTGGTTATCGTATCGATGTATTGGTTTTATTCGGTTGTCATGATTAGAATTTTGAAAGCCTCCTCGATAGATAGTAAAGTGGTGGCTTCCACTTGTCATCGAATCAAGAAGAGAGCTTAAGAATTGAATGAATGATTAATCAAAGATGGAGATTCCTATGATATATGATGATTAATCTTAGCCATCAGTGATTATTTTTCCTCGATATGATTGAATAAAGTTTTTTTAAAAAAATATATAAGACTTGTAGACGATATAAATATATTGTTAATAATAATGGTAGGGAGTCATAAAACGATTTTGTTAATTGAAATGGGGTGACGACGATATTTAGATATGATGATTAAGAAGATTTCGGCAATTATATAAGTTTTCCTATTCAAGCAATACTTATCTATTTTCCGCCATTTAACATCCTCATCTATCTAGCGATCGCTGACTCTACAAGTAGGGGCCCACTTGAGGCCTCGTCAGAGAAAAAATATATATATGTATGTCATGTTGACATAAATTGAGTCTTATGTTCGTTATTTAATTTAATAAAAATATTTTTTAATCAAAATGCTTACCTACAATTTTTTCATCCCCAACTAGTAATCTTGTAAATGCCCAATTAGTTGGTAATATGAAATGGGTGCGAGGATTTGATTTAGCTGATCAAAACTTGAGCTAAATTTCAAATTATTTGGCACCTACTTTATCATTTTGATTAAACTTGTTTGTATTTGATTTGAGTTTAACTAAACTTAAAAATAGATCAAAATATTTAAAAGTAAAATTAATAAAAATATATTTATCAGAATATTATATTTTTTATATTTATATATAATTATAATTATAATTAAGTCACACCATTATAATTATAAAATACTATTATATATAATTAAAAATTACACATATGTTATTTGTCCTATACAGTCGATATATTTAAAGTCTAATCTACATTATTACCCCTTTAAAAGGATTTTTATGCTAGTAAGAATTTTAAAATATTTTATGTTTTCTATTTTTTGTATGTTGCTAGGAGTAATTATGTATGATACTGTAACACAATTAGAAACTATTTTTGATTGAAAAACAAAAAAAAATTAATAATGTAAAAACTAGAGAATTTCGTTCAACAGGTCAACGATGTCATCACAATAGCAGCAGCAGTAAGTAGTAGTAGTAATAATAATAATAATAATAATAATAATAATAATAATAATAATAATAATAATAATAATAATAATAATAATAATAATAATAAATAAATAAATAATAAAAAATAAAAAATAAAAAAATAAATAATAATAATAATAATTGATGTTGTTAATGTACATAACCGCAGAATTTTTTAACTTGCTGGGAGTAGTTATGTGTGACAATAAAATTAGAAACCATTTTTAGATTGAAAAAACAACATAAAACATTTAACAATGTAAGTAAAAACAAGAAAGGGCCAACAATGTCATCTCCATCCATCCATTCTTGATGTCCACCAAATGTGCAACTAAATTATTAGTGCATTGACATCAAGACGATCAATCCCAAAAGCACTACTACACTTTCCACGGTAAGGTTTCTTTTTCTTAATAGTAGTTTCCACATGATATCAGTATGGAACACGGCGTCAAAGAGATAGATATATGTGAAAAATAAATTAATTGTAACATTTAATGACCCAATAAAATTTTATACTAAAAATATTTTTATCTGATAATAGTGCATGCCACTTGAGGTCGAGGATTTAAATTTTCACCGAATAATCTAGACATCTAAAGTTGGTCTAATATATAAAACTTATTAATGTTGGTGTGATTATAGGTAATGTCTCCTCCTCTATTAGCTTATTAATGTTCGACTTAATTCCTTCACTAAAATTAGAATTTTAGGTAAAAACTAAAATCATAGTGAATAATAATTTACCCCGATAACAGTAAAAATTTATTTCAACACTAATCTTAATATAATAATATAATAATAATAATAATAATTATTATTATTATTTTATGATATCGATGTTACGAAAATCAATTTTATGCATTAATTTTATGAAAATAAATTCTCCTCCTCGGCCCACTCGTACCCTTCTTCGACGCTGCCCTCTCCAACAAGTTCCGCTTCCTTAAGCCCTGGGAGTCGTCGCTGCCACTGTTCGATTTCCTCGCGGCCCACGCGGTCTCCGTCCGGGTTCTTCTCTGTTCCGGTCCGTCCCCGGTCGACGATGACGTCCTCGCCCGCCTCCCCGCCCTAGAGCTTGTAGTCGCCTCCAGCGCTGGCGTCGACCACATCGACCTGGCCGCCTGCCGCCGCCTAGGGATCTCCGTCACCAACGCGGGCTCTGCATTCACCGATGACGCTGCCGACTACGCCGTCGGCCTTTTGATTGACATCCTGCACCACATTTCTGCCTCCGATCGCTACGTCCGCCGGGGCCTTTGGCCTCTCAAGGGTGATTACCCTCTCGCCTCCAAGGTAATCCACTTGCCAACGTCTTGTCAAACGGTACAATTACTAGTTTGTTTGCTGACGTCAACAAATTATTTGCAATTGGAATTCGTTAGAAATTTCCAACGATTTAATTCTGATAAAAAATGTTACTCGAGTTTGATTGTGACATGGGGAAGAAAGACCACTAATCTATCGTTGATTGAACTTTCAGATAGTACCAGTCCTGTTCTGATTCTTGCGTGTTGATTAGCATAGTTATTTTCTCAAGATGACCTAATTCGCATAGGTTAACAATGTTCCTTTAAATATATCATATCCATCATTGGTGGAGAACTTGTCGACATACTCTTAGTTGGGAAATAGTAGTATGGTAAAAGCTTGAACTTTTTCTAACTTTTCATTCTTGAATATGAGAGAAAGATGGGTTTAATTGGGAGAAGTCATCCTTTGGTCAATTATTTTGTTAAATCAGCAACGATTCTTGTGGTTCGAGAGAGTTTTAAGACACAAATGAGATAGTGAGTCTAGTTGCAATCAACAACAGTCTCTATGGTTTGAGAGAGTTAATCCTGTGAGGTTTATTAGCATTCTTTTGTTGAGATGGGTGATTAGTTTTTCAAGGGATTGTTCTTTAGTCAGGAAAAGGTGCATGCATGGCATAACTCTTTTTTTTTTTTTGGGTATCATAAGTGTCTTAGGTAGGAGTAAGTACAATTGTCTGATCATGCCACCCAAGTAGAGAACAAATAGGCTTAGGCTTTGTTGTCATTGGAAGAAAGTGAAAGCACATCAAGTGCACAATCTAGCTTTAGGAATTTGACCCCTAATATGAATAAACTATAAAAAGGAAATAATGCCTAAAGCCTAAGATTGGTGATATCTATGAGAGATCCAACCCGATTCATGACAAATCTTGAGTAGAAATTTAAGAAATGAAAAGAAGACCATGAGAAAGACTAGATATTTTACATGCTTCGAAATGTCTTGGGGCACAAATTTGTCAGTTATTCCTTAATAAGAATTATATTTATCATATTTAACAATTGAATGATAGAACTAACATTAATAAGAATTATGAATTTAATAATTGAAGGATTTCTTATTAGAGTAAATATGATACTGGAGTACTTTTCAAGGGGCACAAGATCAATTTTCCTAATTATTAGTGAGTTCGTGCCGTGGATGTAAAGTGACTCATTTAGCTGCAGGTCGTGCCAATCCAGTAAAATGTAGAGCATCTAGAGTTTAACATAGCATAATTCACTTTGGTAAATTAATACTAGTTAAAATACTTAACCTCAGCTATAGTTTATAGGCAAAAGTTTATTTTACTTCGGGAAAATTGTTCAAAATATTGTATAACTTGGTCAAGTTAAAATGAGTAAGAAGAAAATTTTGCATCAGATTTCTTGTACATTCCATTTTTCTTGAGGAGTGCTTTCCCCTTGCTTCCTAGATGGAAATCTCAACTTGAATGTTATTAAATTATTCTTGTCTGACAAGCAACTTGAATCAGTCGGTTTCAAATATGTGTTCGCAGATATAATCTCAGGTACAAGGTATAGGCCTAGACATATTGCAAATCAGCACTGCCTTTAAGGAGTCATATTTGAGTGTAAAGTTTCTCAAGTTCAGCTGGGAGGCTTTTGTAAGTGCATCCCAAATAGCCCAGCATTCAGCTTGAAGTGGGGCTGAAGCTTGGTGTGGGTTGCTTCCTTCTGTGATTGATTATGTTACCATTCCCATCGACAAAGCAATAACCAGTACCTGCATTGACATCCAAAGTGTGAGTAGGATCCATCACAAAGAACTCTTTAAGGGGTTAGGAATACACTCAGCTGGAAATGGACTCGAGGCATGATGAGTGCTGCTTCTTTCATTCACATCAGTGTTGATCCCATTAAGATTGCAATGGTTGCTACTTGCATTAACGCCATAGTTAGAAGAAGATTCATTATTACTAAGAGCATTCAGGCAGTTTGGAACACTACCTGGGCTTGGTAATCATTGCATTGGAGGGAGGACAAGACCTCAAACCAAATGGAAAGGAGGTGGGAATGGTGGTTGCTGAACTTGGAATCATTTCTATTCTTCCAAACAAATGAACCAAATAGAGGTTGCAATGATAGAAGCAATACTAACAGTAACACGTCTACCTCACTATTCCCCTTCTCTTAGCCAACCTCCATTAGGCCATTCAGGCATGTAGGAGAATTTAAAACCCAACTTAGATTGGAGCATATCCCAATATGATTTAGCAAAACTACAATAAAAGAGAATGTGTTCTATAGAATCCATGCCACCATCACACGTACTACACTGATCAACATAACAGTGAATCACCTTAAAGAGCCACAAAGAGGTAGGCAATCGTCCCTATAAGAGTTTCTATAAGAATGCTTTACTATGGAGAACATTTAGACTTTAGACAAACTTCAGGTCAATTTGTGTATCCCTCGAGAATCTATAAATGCTCTTACAAGTCTCAAACCCTTGGGTGTGAGGACTCCAAATCCAACTGTCATCATCGGCCTGAAGGGTCAAGTGGATGGATACCTGTGATCTTACCAACCAAGTAGGGATGAAATATGTCACTCAGCAATTGTAGATTCCAAGTTTTGTTCTCCAGCAAATCCATTTCAAAATGTAAACTCATTAACTTTCTCACAATTGAAGTCGGTGGTTCATTTGTTTATGGTTATATTAATAACCTAATGTGTTGTCCGGACCCGACAATTCTCCTAAGGCCATCTCTAATGCAATGAATAGTACCACTAATTTTCCCCAGATCGGGGAAAACTTTCCTACAGCCCAAGTCCCAAGGGTCGGGACAACCATACTAGCGATTAAAATAGAGCTGATGGCAGGCAGAACCTTCAGTGGATGAAGATTTCACTTCCATGTCTCCTTTGCAAAGAGTAGGGTTGGTGGTACGTGGTTAGCCGATCAGGTTGGGATATGGGGTGTTAGAGCTTCCTTCACCGTGCCCTTCACCAATGTTGATGGCAGGATACGAAGCACCCATTCTAACACTTGAGAACAGGGTTAGAGCCTGACTCGAGCTGCAGTTGTGATCTTGGCTTGCATTTACTCCCATGGCAGGTTTAGATTGGTTGATAGGCATGTTGCAGCTTTCGGCGGCTGAGAAATCGCTGTGACCTATGCAGCATTTAACATGGATTGCATCCCAGTTTTGACATGTGGGTTTCGACCATTGTTGGATCTGGTGCGGTTCGCACCCTCCGATCCAACTTTCAGGGTAGGAGATGATTTGATCTCTTCTTGATCCTTTGGGATTGGGTTTACCTTAGTTTGGAAAGGATTGGAATTATGCACCTTAACCTTGGGTTTACCCTATTTCTGGACCATTATCCATGGTTCATACAAGTCATCCTCCTTCACATCGCTCACTTGTGGCTTGGAACTACTCGTCAGAATCCTACCGAACTTGGGCACCGGATCACCATCATATTTAGGCATCTACGTTAATTTTTTTAGATAACCCTCTACCTTATGTCCTACCCTTCCATATTTTCATATTTAATATTATAGAAAAATGAAACTTTCTTTGCACTAATCCACACTCCTTGTGGAAGAGGGGAAGAGAGGTTGACCAAATACATATTATGGCGAACTTGCCCCTTTTTTCTCTTGATATAATCTTATCTATTTTGAGGGGTTTGTCGATCATAGTGGCAAAATGAAATAGGATATTCAATCGAAAGAATTTAAGGAGAATCCCAAGGAACTATATCTGGATGGGGATGAATCTAACAATCTCCTTAGAGATGGAAGCTTTCCTTCCATGGGATTAGGCTCAAAGCCTATCCCCTCCAATACAATGGATCCCCTGTGATGATAATATATTTCTCTCCTTTGATTGAAATTTAAAGTAGAAAAATCCATCGGTTATCTCGATTACCTGAATCAATCTCTTCAATTGTCACAACTTAGGGAAGGAGTGTTTAATGGAATCAAGCAAGAGTGTTTTACAAAGAATTTTCCATACAGGCTCATCCTCCATGCTTTGCGTGTTGGATCCACCTTTTCATCATTCAGGTCTAGAGTTAGTTTTGAACTGGACTTGATACATTGAATCTTTTACTCCAAAGCAACGTTAGGTTTCCAAGAGGTGGTGCCCTGCCCTTGACGGACTAACCTTGCCCCTGACGGAGTAATCCTACCTAGGAGAGAGATGCTTTTGGGGTTGTGCTAGAAGGGGTTGAGGCCCCTACCTCCTTGTTGGGTGTTGGGTGAAATGCCTTCGGTGTAGCAGAGGCCCTCGCCTCATTGGTGGGACGAGGTTGGGAAGTCACTAGTAGGGTTAGGGCTGTTGAATCTCGGATTTTAATGATGAAATTAATTGATAAATTATTGATATAATCCATATGTTGAGAAGAGTGTTGTAGGATTAACTACGATAATGAATAAGACATAAAGCAAATGTTGGGCCGGAGTCAAAGATCTGACAATACGTCGAAGATTCGAACGATGTGCTGGGAGCTTGCTAAGAGTTTGTCGGGAGTTCGCCAAGATTTCGTCGGGAGTTCACCAAGATTTCGTCGGGAGTTCGCTAAAAGCTTGCTGAGAGTTCACCGAAAGTTCGTCGAGATTTCGCCAGAAGAACAATTGACATACCGGACAAAGATTGCTTAGTTAATGCTTTAATTATCGTAGTTAGAATTTAAATTGAGTTAGGATTGAGAGGTAATCTCACTAATTCAGTTAAGGGCCAATGTGGCCTGATTTAGGGCTGGTTTGGGCCGGACTGATGGCCCAAACAGTGACCTGAAGCCTAATCAAGTGGTGGAACCGCCTGAAGCTCTGCCTCCCAAGTGGTCTGGGCGATACCACCACCCAGATTGGGTGGTGGTACTGCTAGTAGTGTCAGAGTGTCAAGCGGTAGTACCGCCCAAGAATGGCAATGGTATCGCTAGTACCCTGGAAATATGGGATGAGACACTTTTTGACTCTATTTTTGAAGCTATTAAGGCCTATAAATACCTCACTCTTTTCTGCATTAAAGTGTAACAAAGTGTGAACAAAAATCTTGAAGTGTTGGGGTGTGAAAGTGTTGTAAAAGTGCTAAGTGTTCTCCCTTTCTAATTCTTGTGATCATTCAAGTGAGGTGTGAGGCTTGTAAGGATTGTTTCCTAAACCCGTGAAAAAGAAGAAAGTGTTGTAAGAGGGTGGTTGGTCTTTGCCCATTAAAGGAAGACCATTAGTGGATGCCAGTGACCTCGACGGAAGAGGAATCAGAAGTGGATGTAGGTCACAATGACCAAACCACTATAAATCCGGTGTGTTCTTTCCTTACTGCTTACTTTCATTACTTAGCTGCACTCTGCATTATACATTTACTTTAAGTCGACATCTTCTTGATATGATTTCTTCGTTATGTTTTTATCAACTTGGAAAGATTTGGAATCATAACAGTTATTTTTATCACTACACTAATTCACTACCCCCCCCCTTATCCCTCTTAGTGCAAGGTTACTCTCAATTTGGTTTAAAACCCAAGCGATATGATTTTTTTCGGTAATCAAGAGGGTCATTCTATCATACGTTCTCCCATGTTCCATGGAACAAATTACACATATTGGAAAACTAGAATGAGGATTTTCTTGATTTCTATGGATTTCGAGTTATGGAATATCGTTGAAAACGAATTTCAAAAATCTTCTCTTTCAATAAACGATTGGAATAATTTGGAGAAGAATACTTTCTATTTGAATGCCAAAACTATGAATGTTTTATTCTGTGCTTTGGATAAAAATAAATTCAATCGAGTTTCTATTTGCGAAACGACATATGACATTTGACATATACTTGAAATCATACACGAAGGCACGAGTAGGGTTAAGGAGTCAAAATCAATCTTTTGGTTTATAGTTATGAATTGTTTCGCATGAAACCAAGCGAAACCATTGGAGACATGTACACCCGGTTTACGGATGTCAATAGTCTAAAAGTACTTGGTAAAAGTTTTCATAATTTTGAACTTGTTAACAAGATATTAAGATCCCTTCCAAAGAGTTGGGATCCTAAAGTAACTGCAATTCAATAAGCTAAGGACTTGAACAACTTTCTGCTCGAAGAATTTGTCGGATCTTTGATGATCTATGAAATGATATACAATGCATATGAAGAACTTGAGAACAACCTTTCAAAGAGTAGGAAGGATTTGACACTTAGAACTCAAAAAGACCACTTGAGAGAAAACTTAAGTGATGATGATAATGATGATGACTTGGCACTTCTAACAAGAAAATTTTAAAAATTTATAAAAAGGAACTAAACATGACATTAAAAACAAAAATGAACTTAAAAATGAAGAAGAAAGTGCTAAAAGCTACTTAGGATGATTCAAGCACATCTGAAGATAAGGAGCCAACCAACAAAGAAGTTGCTAACTGCGCTTTAATGACGCTTGACGACGAGGCAAGTAACGACAAGGTAAGTAACTCAATCGAAGCTTATTTATCCTTTAATGAATTATTGAATGCTTTTCATGATTTATTTGATGAATATAAATTAGTTAGTAAAAAATATTAATTATTAAAAAAGGTGCATGCCTCTCTTATTAGTGAATTCAA